TTTAAACTTTTTTGGTTTTTCTAGACATGGTTTCTCTGTATCCCTGGCTATCCTAGAACTCACTATGTAGACAAGGATGACCTCAAACTCAGAGATTCACCTGTATGCCTCCCAAATGCTAGGATTAAAAGCATGCACCACTACTGCCTGACTCTTTTCTTGTATTTTTATAGCTCTTTTTAAATTGAAAATAATTTTCTTCATACAATATGTTCTGATCACAAGTTTCCCTATTTCACCCACTCCCAGAATCTCCCCAATTAATTCCAGTCCCGTTTTTCTCTTTCTCTTATGAAAACAGATAAAACAATAATTAAAAAAATAATAAACGAGAATAAAAAAGAAAAAGCATTAGAAATACACACAAAAAAACCCACAACCCATAAAAACACAGAATCTGAAACCATAATATATTTAAATCTACCTGACATTTATCCTGACAGAATTTCCCAAGGCACACTGGCATTTGAATAATGTTCCTGAATAGTGTGAAGAATGCTTTTGTTAGAACCTTTCAAAGTCAGTAACATCGTCAAACACCTGCCTTAGGTTATTGTTGAGATGTTATTCAATGTTTTATACAAGAAACATGTAAATTATAAGCACCTATTTTCCCGTCCCGATGAGACAAACACTTCATTTACTTAGAATAAAAGTCTATGATTGTGTTGTATGTAAAGCAAAGAAAAAGTAGCTCCACTTTTTTCTTCTTTCAAGCCCAAATTCCTCACTTACGATAGTTATTCCTGATTCTTATTCTCTCGGTCTTTTTAAATGAAAGGGAACAAAAACAGAATATATAGTTCTTTTCAGTGCATGCTATCTGTCTTTAGCTATTACTAGGATATATGCTCCCACAAATGTAAAGAAGACATTCTACTGGGATAGCTTCTGATGCAAAGAGTCCATTTCAATGTGCTTATTTAGAAACTCTTTAGCTTTTATACGAAGCTTAAGAGCATGACAAATCTCCCAGTAGTTTCACCATAAATTGCGAAGAAAGATCAGTTGATAAAATGCTTTGCTCTTCTTCCACTGGCTACATTCCCTGCCCATTACCACGGCCCCAGGACAGCTTGTAAATGTCACTGTCTGAAAGCTGGCCCCGAAATTTATCAGACCTGCTTTAACAAGAGACAATTGCCATGAACATTTTCACCCAGCAATTACTTGCACTAACAAATTCTAAAGCTTCATTTAATTGTGAGCATAAAGGGGATGACCAACTCTGAAAACACCAGCCCCTTTATCCCATGACCTCATTCGTTATTATTCAGGCAACCTACTTCCCTGAACAATCATTCTCTTTACTGACCACACCCTTGAACAACAATTTCTCAAAGCCACACACCCCTCCACCCAGAGCAGAAAAAATTTCTGGTAGGAAATAGAAATTTTAACACAGTAGGGAAGTCATTCACAGTCTTTGCAAACAGAGACGAAGGAAAATAGTAACGCATACAGACCTCTGCCCAGGTGAACTGGCAGCGAAGGTCATTTCCAAATTCACATTTACCTCTAGGCTGCTCTCTGAGGCCAGATTCTTTGTGTTACAAGTTTTTAAATAAAAAAGAATGGCAAATTAGCTCATACGTTAAAACCAAATATTTTATTTAATAAAATCCTCGTGGCAACATATAAACAAATATTTTAAAATGTACATCGGCATGTGCCACCTACAGCCCAGACTCTGTGTGTTTGCCCCCAAAGCGGACTTTCCTGTGACAAGCAAATGGTATTTATTCAGATCACACAATTTTCTGTAAAATAGGCACTTAAGAAGCATCTGTTCACTGAATGACTGGAATTTAAAATATTTAATTTTGATCCATTTTCTTTCTCAAAACAGTTTCTCAGTATTCATGGAAAATATCTTGACCTTCATGAATACTTAAATTAGCCAAAGGAAAAAAAAATATAAGTCCGATGAATAATTCACATCAGTGTTGTTCATTTAAGACAGTATGCCATTTTGAGTTAATTTTGGTGGTTTAATATTTAAGCGTAAAGGATTGAATTCTAGAGGGTTTTGTTGTTATTGTTTTCTTTGGCTTTAAGTGGCTTTTAGAACATTATTCATTTATTTCTAAGACCACATTGGGCTTAAAAGTGTTTCTGACTTTGTATGATTATTTTTGTTCCTGAGGGCAAACCTAATAATTTAAATTCTACTATTAATTCAGATAACTTAGTAGCAACTGGTATCTACACTTAATTTTATTTGAGAAATACCCTATTAATCAGACAAAATAATAACCAAGAGAGCCAGAAGTATGTCTCATCAATTATAGATAAGAAATAAAAGCAATATTATGTATCATATAGACAGAAATATAAGTGTTAATATCCATAAACGTATTTTTAGTACACTAGAGCACAGTAGTTTAAAAAAAAGAAATAACTAAATATGTTCTAAAACACCAGGGATAGAAAACACTAAATAGTTGTAAATGACATTTAGTTAAGTATAAAATTAAGATTAAAATTCATGAAACAAAGCAATGTGGCATAAATTGTTTCTCAAAGTAAACCTTTTACTACTGAAAAACTATTTTAAAATCTGAGTTCTCTAAATATCATATATTCACCAAGACAAAGCAAAAGCTTAATTGAATTCATCGTGGCCAGAAATTAAATGTTAACCATCATTGTCTTGGCTTCACTTTGACTGACATTGCATAATTGCCACATATCAACTCATCTGAAATGCGGCATCTCAAAGAGAAATTTTATTAAAACCGTAAAAGGAGTTTTGAATAATATTTACTTCCCAGTGCCTAGATGGAATATAATAGAGTTACCATTAGAGCGTAGACATTTTGTCAGCACGAAAGTAATTTCAGATCACATCTAGGACAACTTTACATAATGCCACAATCTCATCCCACCAACAAACAGGAAGACAGGAGAACTAAATAGAAGGGCTTCCTGATCATTAACATTGTGGTGACTATCTTAAAAAGCTGGTTTGTTGTAGTCCCTTTTATTGGCCTTCATATCCAAGTCAATTTGAAATTTTATAGTCAAATTTCTCTTTTCTAACAAGGGAATCTTCTTCCTCTCTATCACATAGCTTGAATCTCATCTCCTTCCTCATCACTCACTCATACTTTTATTTCTCTTTAGTGATTAATAACTCAGATATCACAGTGAAATCCTTTCCTGTCTCTTATCTCAGCTACTAAGGTTACACTTTCTGCCCCTAAGGGTCTGTGCTATTTTTTTTTTCTACAAAGAACTAAGTTTCAGGATGGAAATAGTCTTAGAGGGATTAATTTGGCAAATTCCATATAAAAGATGGAAAATTTTATAAAAAGCTTAACCATTTTAGTTTAGACCTGACATTAGTATTAAAAAGGAAAGTTGAAACAAGGAACAAACAATAAAACACAATTCTCAAAATTGTCCTATATTCAATATTTATTTTTTTTATATTTTGCTCTTAAGTGTGTATCTATTATTCTTTTACTAGCATGTAAAAAAAGGCTGAGGGCTGAAATAACTGAAAAGTAGGATGACTTCAGCGTTTTTAGGATAATAGTAATTGTTGTTTTCAACCTTCATCCTTTTGGAGGTATTAAGGAGCTAAGATGGCACCAACTTTCTTGCTGATTAACATGCTAATGTTGCATATTGGAATGTAAGTTTGCATCACTATGGTCACTTTATACAACCTGAGATTTTTTTAACTTTCATATTTTTCTACCCCCTGAACTCAATACAGATGACGGCTTTTCCTTCCTACAGACAGAAAGGGTGTGAATTTGGATAGGAGGATCTTGGAGGAGCACTAAACAGAACATATTCTATGAAAAAAAAATCTTCAATAAAAGGAAAAAGAAAATTATTGGTATTAAATCCTAGATTTGTTATGTATTTTCCCCTGAAATTATGCTAAGTGTTGAATAAAACAATAGTAAAATTGTTGTGCCTATGATTTGGAAGCAATCTGTATCTTTGAGGAAATCTTTTTTTGTTTCATTGTACATTTTAATAATATTGCTTCATATTCTACTTTATGTGTTTTCAAAAATTAATCTGTATTCTTTCCAATTGATATAGTAATGTAAGGTAGGATAAGATCCTGGTAATCATTTTATGAGGTTTTCATAGTATACTTTGTAAATATGATTTTAGTTTGGATAGAAGCTCACAGAAAGCTGAAAATATGTACATTTTATATAAAGATAGAGTTATAAAATCAAAGCGGAAATTAATCTGTCGTTTTATATTGTCTTTCCACATTATTCTTCATGTGCTTGCCAGACTATTAACACAGATATTGATGTTAAAAGCAAAACAAATAAAAATCTTAGAAATTATTACATTTTCAAGAGTATCTTAGAGATCTGTCTTTTGTAGCTTTCATATAATACTCATTTACCTTTTTCTTGCTTTTCAAATCCTATAACCTGTTTCCTACTAACATTCCACAAATTATTCAGCTAGTACGTATAAGAATCAATGTGTCATTTTGACACATAAGAAAATTCTAAGACATGTGTACCTGTCACTTAGCCAGGATCAGCATACTATTAGCTGAACACAAATAACTACACGTCACTCCATATATGCCATTGTCTCTATATCATTCTACTTGGCACAAAACACCTGTTCTCTCCTGATATGAAGCGAATCAGTGGGGAACTGTTCTAAAAATAAACCTTTTTGCATTTAAGTTGATGACTACTTTTGTCGTTATAGGCAAAATGGTTTGCCACTTAGAACACATCTTTCAATCAACTTCAATTTTAAAAATGTGGCTTCCTATGCTCTGGTTAGGTTATGTAAATCATTGGAATGGCAACCAACTAACCACAGGCACTAGTAAATGAAAAAATATAGCTAAGAGACAGAATTTGGGAGACTGTCCAACACAATCCTAACTGCAATCCACCAAGAGCTCTCCTGTAAACTACAGCGAATGAAACGGAAAGGGAAGTGAGGTTTAAGATGTGTTTCTTTTCCCCCAATAACCTGGAAAAGCTATCTTTTATTACCTGAGAATGGTCACTCCAAACCAAATTTTGGTAGGAGGAGGCAGTTTTGAGGGGGGAGAGCACTTCCTGTGAGCCGAGGGTGTCCAAGGCCTGCACCACCTTGTTCATGGGCCCACTGTAGGTCCTCACTCGCTCATACACGACACTTTTTTCTGGAGGCTGCTGGCCTTGACTTGACTGATGGTAACAGTGGTAATGCTGAGGCTGGTACTGCAGTACCTCTGTGGGCTGCTGGGTCCCACAGCTGCCGCTGCTGCTCTCACTCCAATAGCTTGAGCTCATCATCTTCTCAGTGGTCAGAAATGGTTTCCCCGGGTGCTCTCCCTAAGGAATAAACAGAAAAAAAACTATAACAGGGCAGGCCGGCAAGTAGGGACACGCAAAGAGGGCCTTTATCAACCACCTTTTATCCCCGGTGGTGCCAGTGAGAGATGAGTTACCTGAGCAGCAGCAGGAGCAGGTCTGGCAGCTGCAGAGTAGACAGTACAGGATTTGAGCTCAAATGAAAAGTGGAGCCACCCTGGGAGATTGCTCCAGGAAATAGTACTGACACGCCCCTGAGGGGCGGATTCACCTGGCAGGTTTGCGTGCCAGGAGAGGCCCTGCCTTGCCACAGAGATAGCAACCCGGCTTCCCAGTAGGTAAAGGAGTCTATAAAAGGCAGAGACAGAAGTTCAGGGCTGGAGATCGTAGGATTGGAAATCTGAAGACAAAGACACCAGTGTCCAAACTTGTTTGAGAAAACAAAGCTACTTTCCCATGGCTTGTAAACTTAGCAAAGGTGGTTTCAGCCTAAGTACTCATTCTGGTATCTCAGTCCAAATTAAAGGGTATTAGCCTAGGGACAAACTAACTTTCAGAAATAAGTTTGCATTCTTCACAAACTCCTGGTGATGATAATGAGGATAATGCAGATTGCCATGGGAACGCCAAGAAAAATTTCTCTAATTTGTGAACCTGTTTATCTGGCTCCAGTCATAGTCTGTATTTTGAACGATATTGACAGAATTATTTCCAAATGATAGAATTTCTGCCTAGAAATTAAAGGGGTGGGGTGGGAATGGCTCAGGAAAATGCTTTGTATTTTGCTTTTTCCTTTTATTGGTTTGCATTTTTACAAAGGAAATTGCCCTGACATTTTTGGGGCCTTAGTAAACACAGAGTTCCACTGTTTCTTTAATCTCCAATTGTTAAAGGAGATTGTTAAACTGTAAGCCTTTAAGATTCATTCTAAGACAAACAGATTTAAATGTGTTCAGCGCTTATTTACAACCACTTGCGAATCAAATCATAATGATATTTATCAACCAGGTAATGCCTGGCGAGTTACTCCAGCACAACTTAACTGTAAAATACTACTTGAGGACTCCTTCCAAAAAGGGTGTCTTCCTTATTTATATATGGACCTTGGGACCACTATTTCAGAGAGAAATGAGATAATGTCTTTCATCTGGGTAGCCATCTTTTTCTCTGATAAATAGCAAAAGCTAATAATTTACTAGTCATTGTGTGCTGGATCACATTCAACAAATGTTAGATAAATTGCTACACTCGTATAACTCTGTAAGGATTTACTGATAAGAAATTGAGGCACAGATGTAGAGACATTGAAGAAGTTCCCACAGTTAAATACGTATTAAAGATGGAGCTGGAATCTGAATATAGAGGGATTCACATCAGAGTCTAAACTTCGTTGAACTACATTATACTGTTAAATAAAATTTTAATTGTTCAGTACATAGTCATCTAAGAACTCTCCTATGTGATGGGGGGGAACACATTAAAAATGACAAGTTACAACAGTCCTTACAAGTAATCTGAATTGTTATGGAAGGAAGGTCTATACAAACCACCTCAAAATTAACCTTTAATGCTTTAAAATAACTTGCTGTTATTTCATATTTATTGCTACTTGCAGAGCTTTCAGAGATAATTCTTGTTCGTTTAGATGTTGTTCCACAAAAATCAATGTAAATTAGCTGGCCATGGTGGTACATGACTATAATCCCAGTTCTTTTAAGGCTGAGACAGGTTTATCATGAGTTGGAAGTCAATCAGAGCTAAACAATAAATTCCAGTCCAGGCTAGGCTACACACTGAGACCTTGTCTCAAAATCCAAAAATAATAAAGAAATTAATGAAAACTAACTAGAAATATGTGATGTACCAAGAAACCAGGTATAATATCAGATCACTACCTCAATCATTCTGCATAAACTTTGTGTTAATAGGGCCTGGATATAAATAGTAAAGCCTAGTTAACACCAACTGAAATCTGAATTTAACACATACACACATACTATTAGTATCTGCTGCCAGTCAGCAGGTAACCTTATATGTAAAAAAGAAATTGAAATGAAGAGTAAGTATGGTCCCCATAAAATTCTGACTATATCTTCCCACTCTGTTTCTTAGAAATAGGAGCAGTCAATTTTGATGTAGTTGGGCTACAATTAATGTGTGAAATTATGCTCTTCCAATTTTTAGGTGTCTTACATCACTGTTTTCCTTTCCTAGGTATAAAGAATACAATTTGAAGGTCAAGAACTAAGAAATGAGCTTAAGCACCACGTGACTAACAAAGCCATCCTGATCATCCTTCTTCACGTCCAACAACTTAATCATTCTCAAGAAAGATTCTATTCCTTCTCAGAGAACAACTTTGTGAATACATGATCAACATTGCCAATTATTTTTATAGATAATATTTTATAGATAAATAAGTATAAATACACTTATCTATGTAATAATATACCTACAACATTTTACAATTGAAAATCAAGTGGATTGATACTATGTTCTAAAAGGTTCATGATTGCACTCTCCTTCTAACTTTGGTATACGGGGTAAAAGAGTTCATTTCTTTTACTTAGTGCTAGACTTGTTCAGAGAATTCTTGATTATATTTCTAGCAGTCATTTGTTTCTCTGTGCAATATGGATACTTTATATTTGGTAGCACAAAAACTAATTTAAATGCTTGATTGGGGGACTAGAACAGATATTCCCTTAGAAGATAATTTAATTAAAAGGAGCTACAAATTTTATTCACTTTTCCTAGCTATAAAACAATTCATTCTTTAAGAATTCAAATGAAGGTGTTGGGGTGATGGTTCAGTTGTTAAGAGCACTTGCTGCTCTTGCAGTGGACAGGATTCAGCTCTTAGCACCCATATGGTGGCTCACAACCATCTGTAACTCCAAGTCCAGGGTAATTGATGCCCTCGCCTCACCTCTGAGGACACCAGACATGCACATGGTCATTTACATACATACAGGCAAAAGATTCACACACAGTAAGTAAAATGATTTAAATCTAAAACAGAAAAAAGTTAAAAATTCATACACAAATAAAGTAGAAGATGAAATTTCCATATTCATGATAGATATAAAGGTTGAAACATCAGCTAAATACATTAAAGATAATAAAAATTAATTTTCATTTTGGCTGAACTGTCTTGAGAGTCATTTAAAAAGTACTGATTTGCCCTACAGAGCATATTGAATGAATAAACTCAGAGTCTCTCATAGTTACAACAAAAAACCACTCATGTAAACACAGTTATGTGTTTATGGGGAGGGGACTTTTCCTGCATGCTAAACAAGCAGTTGCTTCTTCCATGGACGCCATCTGAGTGCTCTCTATTTTAATTCAATTTTGTCTTTGGGAGCTCAGTCTTACAAGATTGTCTGAAAGCCTTGATGTTCTATACTTTAGTGTTTCAAGCAGCCAGTGTTCACCTTGTAGGTACCTAATGACTTCCAGTGATTAATCAGTTAGCATGTCAAAAAGTGAAATTATATTCCAGGAAAAGAGGAAGACCGTGTATATTTGTGTGTGTGTGAGTGAGTATGTGTATGTCTGTTTTAAATACTATCATATCTATCTCATAAACTCATTAGACTCAAATATGAAAATGCTTGCTAGTTGCAATATACTACCCAGCTATTTGACTTTAAAATACACTGTTCATAGAGTTCAGTGTAATTTTGTGAATTAGTCTATTTGAAAATCAAATTAAATGTCTCAGTGAAGTATGGTGCTGATTTTTGGAAACTTGAGCTGCCTGAAAGAATTACAATAAAACAAAGCACCAATTAACTTATCAAAATTGACATATAGAACTATGTTAGGCCATTAAACAGCAAAAGTAATTATAAATTTGTCACCTAATATATTTCACCAGCATCGGCAGTTTTTATGTGTATACTAATCCATTACTCCATCTTCTCTTTTATGAGGATGATGCTTAGATCTATCTCTAGCCCAGGCTCATAGCTTGGGGCTAATGATACAAGAACAACAGATAAAGTTAATACAAAGTTACTTAAGCCTTTTTGCCTTTCCCATTTCTATGATCAAAAGAAGAATGTTCATGCTATAAAAGGTCACCAGGCATTGGTCTGAAGGAGGTTAATGCCAAGTAGGTGAGTCCATTGTATGATTACATGAAAGGATCTGTGTGTTATTAACTGAGTCCAATTCATTTGATCCTGCAGAACTCCATTCCAGCCTGCTGGCAGGGCTTTACGCTGATCTTGTTTAACTGCTGTTGAGAAATTTTTGACTGGGCAAAGTTTCAGATTATGACGTATGAAAAAGATATTTATTTTAAGTTGAACAAAAATGAAAGGCAACTTTTATAATCATGTCAATTTAATGTGAAATGAATTCAAGTTAAAATTCTATATCAAAATACCAGCTGTCTAATAATACATATAACTAAATGGAGAACAGATAGTCCCTTATAAAACCTGTATCACTACATCAAAGAGGTGCAAATAGGTATTTCTCTTACCAAAGAACATTCTACTGGTCGTATATTTTTGTTCAGAACTAACTGACTTCTGTGTTCTAAAGACATGCTAGAGAAAATAAGACCTGGCTTCTGGACAGATTACCCAACTCTTTGTGTGTGCAATCATAGTGGAATATAGGATCTAAGATTTTGGAAGATTTTTAGGGATGTAGCTTTTCTCAAAGTGTGTCAAGAACAATTCTAACTATACTGGGTGCTATACAAAGAAGTGTTTTATGACCCAATGGGTTTTTCTATATAGTTGGTTAAATATAATCGTGGAATAGCTTTATTACTATATAAATAGATTTTATAACATGATATACATTATGACCATATTTTTCCAAATGAACCCACTGTGTGTTGTGTTTCTTAAATTTTTTATTGACAATGATACACACACACACACACACACGTATTGTTTATGGAATAGTCTTCATATTTTTTCTGTGTGACTTTTTCTTCTGGATCTTTTTGGATGGATTCAGACAGTAAATGAGAATCCATATCTGGTTTTTAATTCTAATCATATCATGAAGACATATTAAAGATAATTTGATTGTCTGTATCAACATATCTGTCATACTCAAAAAGAGATTGTGGAGCCAAAAACAATAACACCTAGAAATATTTTTTTTTTAATTTTGGGGTTTTTGAGACAGGGTTTCTCTGTGTTGTTTTGGAGCCTGTCCTGGAACTAGCTCTTGTA